GTTCAGCAGTAAGCATCTTGTCACCCATCAACAAACTGACCTGGATGATCATGTCCCTAAGAACACTTCACATACTAGTTTTTTAACTTTTCTCGCACATATTTCAGAAGAGAAATCTCTTCTTGTAACTGTTTAAAGCCTAATTTAGTGGCTCCAGGAAATAGGCAATCAATTCACGTGAGGCAGGGTTGTTAACCTGAAGTGGGTAAAAGACGTGAGTGGGTTATGAACGCATGGAAAAGGGGACAGTGCGCAGGGATTCTATTTTTGTTTATCCAGTTTCTACAATTAAAACAGACACTCATGGAGCAGTATGTAACCCTCCTGAGCCGAAGACAGCTGATCTGAGCATGGAAAACTCTTATACCAGTAACACACCTACCTTAACTCTACGATTTATGTTGAGAAACTGGCATGTCTTGTCATAAAGCTCTTCAAGTTTTTCTCTGTCCCAGTAGAAGTCGGGTGTTATTAGTAGGTCTGAACTCAGATTTATACGGTGCCTAAAAAAAAAAGGTACTACAGTAGTTCATGCTTCCTTTCAGTAAGTACAGGACAAATATTTACACAGCAGTTAAAAGAAGCAGGAAAAATATCCTGTAATTTTAAGTAAATTGTGAAAAGAATCTCCTTTCAAAATAAAAATACAATTGTAGTCATTGTTTAAAATCAGTTACATCTCCTGAAACTTCTGAGAACACTGTACTGGATACACTTCTAAGCACAAATGCCTTTTGCCTTATGGCAACTCAGCCTCCTCAGCTTGTCACCTTCCTTAACTTCTGGTATCTACAGAGAAGTCCTTGACTGTGTTGAAGCTGAGGCAGTACATGAATGACAGGTACTGGTGAGCTCCTTAACAGCTTGTTTGTATCTCAGAACTCTCAAGTGTGACTGGTACCACATGCTGGACATGTGGGCATAGCTCACCCTTCACAACCGCACTATTGTCTCAATATTACAAAGGCCAAGAGCTGAACTCTTCCACCCTCAACCTACTGCTCAGGTAAATCTTTGGACACTTAGAACATCATTACTCATTACTGAACAGTCCTTCCCAACCTTTAAATTCTTATAATGTAGCAGTGGTTTCTGATGAAGTCAAAGGAAGAAGAAAACTCACAGAAGAGTTTTACTGATGCTAAGCTGTAGTTAACAGTTCTATCTCCTGGTATCCTCTGCATACTCTAGTATCCACTAAAATTACTGGTGATGAGACAGCCGCTGCTGGACCCAGGGAGGGAAAAGGGGACGGAATTTGGCCATTTACAATACACTGGGTACTGCCCATCTACAGCTGAGGAGCTGTAGTGTAGTGGGTCCTCTAACACGAACAGCACACATAGTCTCCAGCCAAAAGAGGGTTGAAGGAATCCATCCCCACGCCCATGTTTAGTGTGTATTATGATCTTTGTATCATGCAGAAGTTAAAACTTAAGTTCTGTGTAAGACAGTATCTTGGTGGGGGTAACAAAAAAGTTACCTTAAAGCAAAGAGTTCTCCAATTTTCTGCATTACATCTGCATGAGACAGTTTTACCTTCCGTCGTGACTTCAGGATCTGCAAAGTAACAAGTTTTTCACTGCTTGATCAAGTAGCATGTACTAGTAGTTAATTAGTCTGGTGTTTTACAGCCTGAAGTATGTATATTCTAAGTTTTAGTAACAAGTTTTGTTTGCTTAGTGCTTTGCTTTTCTAGCTCTCTAAGAATATCACCATGCAACTGTTCATCCAGGTTTTTCAATAAATCACTGAGTGTGTCATCAGTATCTATATAAAATCCTGAAGCATTTCCTATAAATGATTTGCTGAACAAAAGATAACTTGTTTTTTCTTCCTACTATTGTTAACTCATGACAGCATTCTTCTATTTTGACACTAATTAGCCTTTTTAATAGACTTTTTCCTTACAACAAACATTACCGTTTATTTCCTTCAAAAAATAAAGATGCTGTTTTCTCTGTTGAACCCTCCAAATCTCATTTCTACACGTGGCATCATATGGGCTTTGTACTTTAATTATTCTCATGAAAAGCTGTGCTTAAGTCACTCGTTTTAAATGCCACTTGTCCTGTGGCATTCAGCAGTGGCAGGTGACAGTGGCACAACATGGGAAACATTATTCCAATGCAGAAGCCCTCTCCCAGCCCTTCAAAGACTGACGATTTCTTGTCCCATCACTTTGCAGGCGTTCTGAGCTTCTCCACGTTGAGGGCTTCACCACCAAACGTGCTCAGCATTCAGTTGCTTTTTCCATATCCTCAGGTGCATCTGGCCTGATCTTTTAAAAAGCATAGGAGAAAAGGAGGGGAGAGGTACAAACAAGACCTCACCTCAGGAATTGACTGGATGGATTCCACAAAGGTATCCAATAATGATTCCCAAATAGCCAGCTTTACTGCAACACAGAGGTGACAAATAAGAACACTGTGAGCGGTATATATGCCTTCAAGTAATCATAACCTTAAATCTACCAATATGCTGCTTCCAGGCACTGTTTATATGTATCAATGCATTTGCAACAAGTTACCATTAGTATTGTATGATCAATGTTCATAAACCTGTTCATAAGCCTATGGACAAGTCTGGGCTGGGCACTGACACAGCTCTGCACACAGAACCATCCTGAGGACAGGGCTCTTCTCCAAACCATCAGTTCAGACCCTGGGGAGCTTCCTCTCCAGCTCGAAAGTTGCGTGTTTAAGTGCTCCAGCATGTGTAAGGAGCCTTTGCAAACTACATTCCAAGGAGGCTGGAGATAATGAGTCACGCCGGAGCCCAGCTGACTCGATGTGGTGCCACTCCAGAGTCTGCAAGTTTCTGATTTGCAGAAATGCAAAATCCCTGCATTCCCAGTGTCCTGCAGAACGCTCATGCTCCATGTGTCCAGTACTTGGTGCAGCATGCTCAAACCAGAGACAGTTAGCTTGTACAGACACACCACCTGTACTTGTTAAAGCTAAATTCCAACTTAAGCAATCTCCCATTTCAGTTTTAGGTGAATATACTGTTCAGTGAAGATACAACTTCTCTTCTGTGGAAGCTGTTCAGCACAGGCAATGGCAACACAAATTCTACCTCAAGCCTCAGCCGGAGCCTGGAAAGATGTTTCTACAGGAAGATGATATAACTCTGCAGATTTCCCAACAAGAACGAAGTAGAAACAGATAAAAAAAATCAACCCTACTCACTCAGTAGAAATTAGGGAAGATTTAATTGTCAAAATGGACTCTTCCATGGTAGTAATCAATGGTGTCATCTAGTCAGGACACTGACAGTAAATCCAATGCCAAACATTTTTCACACTCATCTTCTGAATACAGAGGCCTAAATCCAAGTCAGTGACTTAAATGACATTTAATTTAGGCCCTGAAAACAAGCCAACAGGCATTTCAGCTATCACTGGTTATTTGACAGAGGTTGATTCCTGCCGTGTCATAAATCTGACTTGGACTATACTTGCATCCTTCATTTTTACTGAACATTATTGAACTGTTTTCCTTTATGATGTTCATGTCTCCAACATAAATCGGTACCAGTTACCTCCTGGGAATAAATTGCTTGCTCCATTATATGTGGCACTACTGTTCCACACAGTGCTTTATGAATAGGGAAACTATAGTGAACAAAAGGCATTTTTTCTCAACAGCCCTTCCTTTAACAGTCAAGAACTATTTAGTTATACTGTACTCCTGGACCAAATGGTGTATCGCTTCAAAAACACGCATTCTCTTTTTTGATGTCTCTTCTCTTTAAACATGCACTTCCCCAAATACTACAGGAATCCTGTAACTGACCCTAAAAGTAGGGGCAGACACACAAAAAAAGACCTTGAAAGGTCTTTTTGAGGACGGCCTTCCTGCTGCCAGCTTCTACTCCCAAATCCTACCTCATCTGAGGTCTGAAGCAGCAGAGAGAACTTCCTCAAGCAGCAGGTGCACTGCTGAGCCTGACTCCTTCCCAGTGTCTCCCGCTGCCTCCTGCCATGCCCAGTAAGCTTTGAAGACATTATTCTGTGACTCTGGTCCACAGCTTTGATACTGGTACACCTCCCAGCTGGGAATCACTGCTCTACATTACTTCTTTAGCTGGCATCTAGCTTTTTCTGTTAGAGCAAATGATGTCAGGATGAATTACCTAAGTTTACTGACAGGTTTCCAATATGGGACTCTGCACTTGTTGCTATCCTAGAGTAGCTGTCAAAGGTGGGGAACAGGATGCTCAGCAGAATGTGTCTCTTTTGCAACGTATGTTTCTTAATGTGCTTTGTTCAACTTGAAGACAATTTACACTGAATGAAGTAATTCCAATTTACAGAAAACAAGGTAAAGCTTTGAAAAAAAGGCTTTGAACATGAATCCTCCCACAGTCAACCTTTACAGTTTCCTAAACCAGAACCCTGCCACTGCACAAGTCCCACTTATGACATTTCACAAATCCGCAGCAAAGGCTGATAGGACAAACAGCATTAACTTACCAGACAGACAAAGGGCATTTGAAAAAGCGAACTTCTGCAGAACAACTTCATCACTATCCAGCTCAGAATTTAACAAGATTTCTCCTTTGTGAAGCTTTGACTGGCCTCTGTTAAAGCAGGATTGAAGCACCTTTACTGACTAAGCCACCAGCTAAGAAGCATTTTAAGAACAATCAATGCAAGAAAGCTCGGTTGTTTATTTATACAAAGCATGCCACTTCTATAGGTATATCATCACCATCCTTGCATTTTACTCATGTTCAACCTGACAGTAACAAAAACAAATCACTGAAAATGAGTTCCTCAGTCTAAGACTAATATTATGACCAAATTTTCTAGGTTTAAATGAAACTGCAGCAAGCTATGATTACAGTACTACTACACACATACAAATCATTCAGAGTAAAGCAAGATGCTGGCCTCTCTCCTGTTCTCCATCTCCTGTATTATCTTTCTGCTTGTTTTCCTTTTCTTCTGTCACTTTTACCAACCTCCTTCCTTCCCTGCTATGCTGTTACTTTCCCTGAAGTCTCTATTGTACAGTGGGGTCAGGAGCAAAGAAAAGAGAGTGTAGGAGTCATTCAATTTATCATGTCAATCTCACCATGAAACTTGCAAAACCACAAGGGAGTATGTCAGGAATCACAAATTACACAGCTGGGTAGTACATGCAGTTTTTGAATGGCTAGGAAAAAACAAACCAAACAAAAACCTGTCCTCTTATTGGGTTACCTTAAATAAGCTCAACCTCATTAGCTCAGCTCCTAGTGTTACAGTGTCCTGTCTAGGAGTTGGTTTTTGGTGCTGTTAGAAAGTTACAGACAATTTATATAGTAATTTACATTAAGAAATATTTCTGTAGAGATCATTTGCTCCCCATGATAAAAAACCCCACTATTTAACACGGCAAGACAACTTGCCAGGTTTATTGTTCCACAGTACTCGAGTTACAGCTTTCCTAGGAAGTGACGTATGTGCATAATTACATCTTTGTACAGGAACCTACAGAGCACTAAGGAAAGCTAATGCAGAGAATCTTCCTTAAAATGAGATTTGTCTCAATAATGCATATCTGCTTTTTTTCTGTGATGTATGTAGTTTCTGTTTGGGATGGCTGAAGAACATTGTCACTACTGAGATTTTAGCAGTACAGAAAAGTCAATTTAGATTTACTGTTTTTTCCTTTCCTTATTTTACTGATTTGAAAAAAGAGTAAGGACAAGTATATTTTTACTAGCTGCTTTCATCTGAATTTGCTTCAGGTGTCCACCAGCTTTTATATAGAGTGCCTGAAGATACTCACTCTCCTATTCTATAGTTGATCTCTTCATTCTCCCAGTGGACCAGTGCAACTTCGTATGGCTGAATTTCATGCTGTTCTAGCAGTTGCATGACACTCTTCATCTAAGCAAAAGACAGTTGCACACATAGAGGAACAGTCACCATGCAGGATACTATCACTCTACAAAGATCTCACATATAATAGGTTGATGAATACAACTTTCATGCTGAAGTTATTTAAATAACAATGAATACGTCTGCTAAGTAATGAAGTGATTATTAACACCGTTCACCTCTGAAGCTATCAGTAGCCACATGGAAGAATCTGTGGCTATGAACAACTGCAAGGAATCCATGAAGATTAGATGTCATTTAATGTCTACATATATGAAAAATGGGGTAAGGATCAACCACAGCAGCAGTAAAGACAATATGTGTATTGTAACAATGAGCTGTACAAGATTTTGGCGTGTGCGTGAGTGTGGGAATGAATCTTTAGGATCAGGTACTTCAGGTGGCTGTTTCTGCCAAAATTACCAGTTTGCAGCTAAAATCAACAGTTCCGTTTCAGCTACCAAAGGTTGCTGAAACAACAGAAATATTACAGAAATCCTTTACCCCTGCAGAAATCTGTAAGAATTGTTTCAGCTGCCCACATTTTTTAACTGTGAACAGTTACATGTGCAGTTTTATGAGCACAGGTAATCTCACTGTCGTTTTATTCTCAAGCGCACCAAAACCTGATGCAGGAAGGAAGAGCCCTTTTCTCTCACAAAGCTTTCTTCTCCAACATCTGACTTAGGATCCCTCAATCTTGTTCCTTTTTATCAGCTACAAGGCTCCCCTCATAAAAATCATTCTGCAATTAGAACAAATTCTGAACTAAAAAAAGCACTCACCTTAAAGGCATTTAGCTACACAACAGCCAATAAAAGAAAGACCCCAAACAAAACCACAATAAACTTTTGATGCCTGGATTCTTCAAAGAGGTGAATCTTCTACTGAGTCATACTTAAACCACTCTCTTCAAAGTAACAGATAATAGTTAATCTTTTAGTGCAAAACTGTATGCTTGTAAATTGTTCACAAAGCCTATTCTTCAGGTTAAGTAAGCTGAAAAAAATCTGCTGGATCACCTGCAAGAGGGATCTCCTTTACAGTGCTTTCTTCATTGCTTTCAAGGATTTTAGTGACGCTATGTAAGACAACATTTTTCACTAAAAAACTCCAACCCTACAGCTCCAACTGCTTGTTTCATAAACCTGAATTGAATATTAGCATGACTAGTACTGCCATTTATTCCAAATCTTGTGGTAAAAAAGGGTATGAAGAATTATTGTCACTTTTTAAGCAAGAAGCGTGTGTTGTCTGGATGGTCAGCTCGGCCGACCGGCTATGCTGTGTGTCCAGGGACAGTTCAGCAATGCAAACCCCACTGAAACAATGCCAGAGTTAACAGCCAATCCATAATGTAGCACGCCAGGCTCCAAGAGCGTGTTCACTTGGATCCAGCTTTGAGAAGTCATTACTAATACAGCAATAATTATGCTGCTAAGAGACTTCAGAACTACAGCCAGTTCAGGCTTCCCAGGGCCAGTACACAGCAAGATTTAACAAAGCTTTTCAGACCGTAACCGACTCTGGTATTCACACGTCTTTTAACATGCACACTTCCAAAGTTCTTCCATTGCTCTGGATAATGAGAAATCGTATTTCAGTAGCAGCTTTCTTTTAGCTAGATCGACTAATACAAAGGCTTCCACCAACTGAGGTGAGGCCCAGCCTTACTTCATAGAAGGGACTACCTATGACACAGTACATTTAACGAGAAGAGACGTTCTGGACACACTAAACGCAAACTCTTGCTATTACAGGCAATCACATCACACAATTTCTGTTTAAAAAACACCAGATGAAACTGCACCTCAAAGCTAGTCTTGCTTTTGCCCTTGCTATTTTTGGTGGGGAAGCTGTTGCACAGCCTCATTACTCAGGTATGTGAAAATGGTGTTTCACATTTTAAATTTCTACTCATGATCAGTCTGTACTTACTACTTCTTCTGTTCAGAGTCTGTTAGCTTCAAGGTTTTTCTTCTCTTAATAGCAATTTTGGAGTATTTTTAAAAAGCAGTTTTGTCCGTTCACAGTGATTCTCTACGTCCTGTTTTACCGAATTACTTTCAGTTTCTGTTCTACAGACTAGATCAGTTTGGTTTGGTTTTGGTGGGGTTTTTTGGTTTGTTTCAGTTCATTAAAGCACATAGATTAAAATACCTCCTCTATTTGAGCAAGTTGTTTGGAAGTTAAAGTTTTGACTAGGATTTCATAAGCAGACAAATCTTTTACAAATAAAGCTAGCAAGGGACCAACGAAAGTTACTAGTACGGACAAGAAAAACATGGTATCAAATTTTCAAAGGTACTTTAGCATAACCGGCAAGCAGATTTTAGAGTACTACAGGGGTATGCCACAGCGTCCTAAGTGTGCTACAGGTACGGTTTGAAGGGAGAACTAGTATTTTTGGTAGGCCAGCTGGTATACTGAAACCCCCCAAACCAGACAGGCAACCAGGAACATTTCAGGTCTGAAACAGAAAAAGTGAACTTGAATCCAGAAATTGTTCATGTCTAGAAACAACTACTCTGTTTCCATTCACCTCAATGAAAATCCTCCTGTGAACTTCTGTACATCTCAGTACCATCTATTTAATACATCATTTAATTTCACATACTCTGCCTACAGGTAAGATCAATAACCTTTTCTCTCTGTATCTAGAATCCAGTTCTATTTAACCACAGTAATAAAACTCAATGTATTAAAAAAATGCAACTAACTATAAATACACTCATAAAAACAGGTATGCCTGTTGCGTACCCCCCTTGGTAAGTAAAGAGTGCCAAATTAACATAAGAGGTATGTCATTTCAGTATCAACATGTTTTAAGAATTATATCAACCAATACAGATCTTCCTTCAGGAAATTGCTAACTGGTAGAAACATAAAACAGTGTTAAAAAGTTGCTTACAAATTCTGACTCTTTCGAAGTTATACAAATGTAAATTTTGAATACTTTTGAGTTAAACAGAACAAAATAGAATGATCTTTTTCTTCTAAGACATCTTCTGTTACATTACTGCCTCTCAAACAACCATTCACAGGCTGATTTTTCTCAACTTCTTTGGGGTGTACAGCTGCAAGAATTTTCTTTTTGTCAGTCTCACCAGATTTAAGTTTCAGATTTTTGGCCCTAAGTATAAAATGTTACCCACTTTCTATGTTACGCATATTACACATACATTTGCTCATTTTGTGCAAAAAGTCAAGTTTCAAAGGTGATGTATCAGCAACTTGACGGCAGCTGCAGGCAAGTACCTGCACTCAATAGGAGGAATCTGTCCTTTTTCTTCATGGAGAGATCCAAGCTCCCAAAGAAAGCCCAAGCATGCTGAGGTTCGTGGGTCTGACAAAGTATCTGCTTATGACATTTTAACAAACAGTTTTGCTTTACTTACACTTTTCTCTTCCACATTCCAAAACACAACAGCCCCTTCCCTGTGAATCCAAGGAAAAACTGAGCTGTAATTATACTGCTTTAAATGTATTTCAGTGCAACACTCAAGCTGTGCAGTGGCAATTTTTGACACTGTGAATCAAGAAACTTAATACTACCTTCACAAAAACTATGTAATAGTTGCTTTTGAGCCACACTATAACAAAAAACATGAGGAGGTAAGTTATCTTTCAACCATTTAGATAACTCTGATTTTTTTTTTTAAATCATGTGGGTTGGACAGTTATTCCTGGAGTTTCATGAGGTAGTATGATGCAATCACCTACACTGCTTCTTTCACATCACTGCTATTAATAAAATAAAGTTTTGGGTGTGATCTATAGCTTACCTGAAGAAAAAAATCATGCCAGGATCATCTTCTTTTGCAGATTTCTCAGTACCCATCACCAAAACGTTTGCAGCATCTAGTTTGAAATAAATGAAAAAAGAAGAATTGGTAAAACTTCTAAACATGATAGCTATAAGCATATAATTCCAGTTTAACAGTTACATGCCAACAGATCAGTCAGTCAGACCCAGATTTTGTTTTTCTATTGGAAATGCGTGCCAGCAAACTACAGTATCAAACTACACTGCTGCTCCCAAGTGCCAGGCTCCAGACAGACTCAGCCACTATGCTGAACTTAACTGGAATCTTTAGTTAACGAAATATAACAGTTTTGAAGAACAAAAGACTTAAGGGAAAACTGATGCAGGGCATAGTAAATGACCAGTAACAGAAGTGGACATGCAACTATGGAAGTTGCCCACAGCTGCAGAGAAATTACCATTCAAATCTGCTTACCCGAAGATCTTCCTTTTCTCTATACAGTAAGGGACTAATCTGCACTTAAATTGTGCTGACTTTGCTTTGACAGTCAGAAACTTGAAAGAACATACTCCGAGGGCAGGAGAGGGTACACCTGCACCTTCCTTCAGATCAGAGCATGCTTTTGAAACAAACCTTCCAGCCACCCTCATTTACCACACTTCTGATGTGCATTGCAGAACAGTGTCAGAGAACACAAACTGGATTTTTTTGTTGCATTAAACTGAAAAAGGAGCTCCAAAAATGCACCTGTGGTACTCCAACTGCCAACAGTCATTTGTTACAAACAGACTTGAGCTAGTTTAAGTAGAATGCCACAAAACTTACACACTGTGGATGCTGTGTTCTCAAAATAGGGTCTTCTTTTTTCCCCCTGTATATATCTGCTCCACTTGCTTGTATAGATAACATTTTAGAAATCCTGATGTTGTTTTGACAAAAAAGGTTCCCTTTCAGCAAGACTGACCTTGTTGCAGAACTAGTGGAAGCAAGATCAGCAAAACCCCCTACCTCTATTATGAAGTGAGACTCTGCAAAGAGAAATTTGCAGGGCCTAACACCTAAGCCTTAGTAAAGCTCAACTCCTCTTCAGAAAGATCACAAGCCAAGCAACAAGACATCAAGTTCAACCTGTACACAAATTCCACACTCTGACTACTGCCACAGAGGCCAGGCAGACTAAGGCAGCAGAGAGAGATGACTACGTATCAGATATACTTTTGCTAATACCTGAATTCAGATCACACAATTGGTCTGTATGAACTCTGTAACTTTCCTTTCACTTGCTATTCCAGTTCAGAAACACGTGATTTGATGAATCACTAGAGCAAGTTTGGGCTGTGAAGTTTGAGTTCACCATGCAAGAAGCATTTCTCCGCATTTTCTCATTTGACTTTTCAGATAGCACCCTTATCTTTCTTTATCCACCCCAGACAAAACATACATAATTGAAGAAAATTTGATCCATTGTAAGTGGAGGTAGAGTACCTGCCTCTAAAATACATTTAAAGAGCTTGAAAACAATGCTAATGCTTAGGAAGAACAATGCAAAGCAACAAATCCACACTATAATTGCTGATTTAGATTTCTATGTGCTAGTGTTTTTTGATTTTCCAAGATTCAGTGTCTGAGTTGGTAACCAACCACTGCTACATGCACAAGGCAACCACCACAACACAAGAGCTCTGCTGACACAATCCACCATCCTTTCATCTTTACTTCCTCCAAACTTTTGACAAACAAAGTGTCTATTGTAAGGAGTCAGAAACACATCATAAAGAAATGGAAGAACCAGCAAACCCCCCACTCCTAGGGTAAAACACCAGCAACAGCCTTATGGTTAATCCCCAGTCTTGCTGGGATCATGCAAAGTTCCTCTCCCAAAGCTGTGAAACTAGTGTTGGTTTTAATACAATGAAACTACAAAGAAAGACAAAGCCCAGACTCTAAAGCACCTTGTCTTTCTGAGCAGAATGATCATGAGTAAATCTTGTGCTTGAGCAAGTCCCACTGGAGAATTATTGCACTTGGATTATTAAGTGTTTGAGAGGCAGCCATGTATTTGATAACCTCTACCGAAACGCCCATGAACACTGTCATTTCCTTAGCTTCATGTACTTTGCTCATTCAAGGGGGGGGGGGGAAAAAGGCACTCTACTGCCATCATGTGAAAACCACAGCTGCTCTAGGGCACAGGGTTCCTTCAGCCATAAAAAGCTCCATTTGTTTTTCTCTTGTAGTATATTTCAGCTATTTTCAAGCCATACTTTCCCAAGCCTTCAGAGATACTCAGTAGGAAACCAGAGCCAATTGTTTTCCTGAAACCTAGCGGAGTGAAGCATTCAACAAGTGCTAAGATGTATTTGGCCCAATAATAATAACTAAAAAGGGTATCAACTGCATTCTCTTTACTAGAATGAAACATTTATGTATGTATCTTTTTAATTTCACTTAGTCAGCAAGATTCTCTCTTGCATGCCTCCCTCTCTAACCCTCAGTGATTTTTACATTACTAGAAGTATGGGTATGGAAAGAAGATGCAACACTTCAAATCACAAAATCATTTTGCCATCTGAAGCACTAAGGTATCACATTACTGAAAGATTAATTAAAATAAAGAAAACTTTCAGAATTTTTTCAGTTATTGAATTTATATAGAAATTCTTCGCATCAGAAAATGTACAAATTTATTTTTCCTGCATGCATCTAATTTTCCAGTACTTTTAGTGTAAATTTATCATAGGGTAACAGCAAGTGCTGGTTATATTCTATTCTGAAAGGTTTAGTTGCAGGGGGGATTTTTTTAGGCAAATGGAATGTTTAAGCAAAGTAGTATTTTACAGGAAGTATGATATATTCCAGAGTACTACCAGAATAAGTATACATCAATTTATAAAAATTATATACCTCACCCATATTTCATTTCCCAAGGTAAAACATTGCTTTTAATACGTTTCAAAAATCTACCTCTAGGCAAACTTGTTATTTCAACATATCCATGTGAAGTCAGGTCATGACACAGATTACCAAGATGATATTCATCTGCTGTTGCAAAGGCTGTGCACTGCATCAGATTCTGTGCCAAAGGAACAGAGATTTGAGTTAGGGCAAGGCTGAAGCAAGATGTTCATAAAGACAACTGTTTGCCTCAAATTTATCATGAGAGTGACAATTTTCATTTATTCACTCTTTTCTACATCATTGCCATGCTGTCCATCTGGTGTACAAGCACTAACAAGATTACTCGCTCCCTATTAAGTAGGAAAGCAAATCACAGGCAGATCAAACCAGGTGACATGAGAAAGTAGCACCAAAGAACTTTGTGATAGAGCCACAAAGTGAACCCTTCCTCCCTGAATGCCAAATGCTTTAACAGCAGAGCTACATTTGCTACTGCTCTCCCACCCTAAGGTTTATGACATACTCGTCTGACCACTGAAATCAAAAGCAAGACACCCCCAATACCAGCTTTAGCATCTGTATTTTAAAGATAAATGGAGTTAACTATCCCAGCCTGCTTATCAAGCAAACATCATGTTCTTCCACGCACAAAGCTCACTACAGAAATAATGAGCCACTGCAACACTGCAGCACAGAAAGTAACAGATCTTCTGGGCCAGTTGCAAGTGCTGCAGATCTACAGTGTCACCCCAACCTAAATCTTGTACTAAACAAGATGGTTTCAACTGACACCACGGTCAAACCATACACAACAGCCAGAGTTTGCCTCAATATCCACAATCTTAAACAACTAAGACACCATATTCAAACCAATGACTGGAAAAATGACTTGCAATGAGACTGACTCACACATAGTGAAGAGAAGAAAGTCAGCTGTGTCAAGATTTTCCTGATTAATCAAACAGGCCACGATAAACGGATTCACAAATTCTACTACTCATTTTAAGTGGATTCCTTTGTTCTGATAGCATGTATGTCCCATGATAATGTTTTTCAGTACAATGCAGTAGAAGAAAGATATCCAGAAAGCAATGTGTCTCATTGTGGATCAGTCACTTCCCAGCTTTTTTGTAACTAATACAAATGGGGATGTAACTAACAACAAACGAACAAAAGAACTGGACTCATCTGCAAGCATTTATAAAAACAATACACTCCAACTTAAAATCCAAATTATATTCTCACAGCAATCATACATTATCAAACAGCAAGGCCCTTCTTGGAGGGCCTGTTACAGAATCATGACCGCACATTTAACTTCTGTTCTTTAATGTTAACGTTCTGTTGTCACTTCTAAAGCTTTCCTTACACATCATCCTAGTTCAGTGATCACTAATAGAAAATAAACTTTAAAAGTAATTATAACATTCAGTAAGCAATTTTGTAGGGCTATTTGCATGACCGTGCTATGAGGCTAAGTTAACAGTGGAACAGAACTCGCTCTGCCATGAAACTCTTCTGTCAAGACTTAAGGGAGCAAACTCTTCTAGCTAAGATATCACCTGAAAACCTCTATCCTGCTCTATGCTTCCCATAGTTTACTATTTGTGCTATTGTTAATTTCAAGGCAGATGCACTACAGGACAGACTTTCTGCCTTACGGCTGCAATTTAATTTCAATGTAAAGACTTTAAATATAGTTAGAACCAGAAGTTTCCTACTAAGACTACATACCTGAAATAGCACTTTGGATATGCGCTAGTTTGGTTCTTTTAATAACGCACTGTTCCACTTAAGTCTTTACTAAAATCTTGTTTGATGGGGAATATTTAGATTGTGTGTAACGTGAGATTAAGATGTCTAAAATGTATGTGTCCACAGACACTCTAAATGTCTAAGCTCCATGATAGTTGGTGGAGATACAGCCAAAAGTCTATATTCTGGTGAGTGATTCGGTTCATCCTAAACCAGACACAGTAACTGGCCAATCAATGCCATGCCTTCTGCTCTATCGCTTTCACCTGCACGCTTAAAAAAATCGAACAACCAAAACAAAACCAAGCCCAGAACACAAGATCTGTACTGGTGATAGAAAGAAACTCCAGCTACTCACCACCCTCCTCCATTCTGCCAGCAGCTGGGGCTTCACTGAGATTCTAGGAGCAGCCATCCTTAGGTACCTCAACAACTCATTTTCAGTATTACCACCATCACCAACAAATGTAATAATTCTCCTTAGCCCATCCCTTCCACTTTAAGCATACAGAAATTTTTAAGAAAGAAAACCTGTAGATTGAACTTAAATCCTCATACCACTATAGAAATCAGCCTTTATCCTACATGTAGTAAAAACTACATCTTTAGCTGAGTATCAAGCTTTTTTTGTACTATGTGGCTATAGCATCAAAAATTAGCTCAGAGGCTTTTCATGCCATCAGACCTTAAGAGATTAACTAAACTGAGTAGTGGTACCACTCACTGATGGACTGACTAAACCACTTAACTGCTTTCAGGTAACTCCTCCATCTATCCTGAAAAACTGGTCTTACAACCATTTATCACTGCTGGTGCTCAGCACTCTTCCTGTAAACACCTCATGAAGACCAGTGCTAGGGAGGGGTGGGAAGAACCTCATTCACAGAGTGTTCTGCAAAAGAAAGGTGTCACCTGCAAACACCCTCACAGACAAAAATCACCAGAGATCCTAGGGGTTCAACTGAGAACCTTACGAGAGCTCTTAAAATGCAGAGCAGGAAAGAAGATGCAGCAGCCTGCCCTGAGGTAACAGCCTTGGTAATAGGGCCTGTGTTACCCAAGGGCCTTCAGTTGCCTCCACACAGGCGAGGGAAGGCAGGATCAGACGTTTTGTTACACCAGGATTTAGAGAAAAACTGACAGTGCATTGAAAAACTCCTCAAGGATTCTCCATTTGCACTACTTCATCAGTCATCTTGCAGAAATCAGCCACAGCTTTCAGATATTTCTCTATACACAAACAGGTAAAACCCCATACTTATTCCAAAGTACTGTCAGCCTGCAGTTGAGGTGACAGGCTGGACCCTTTTAGATGGGTTTATTCAAAACCAGCAAGTATTTTTGTTAGGTCTGAGTTTATGTCATTTCAGGCACAGCATTTTGCCATGTGGAAGCTTCCTCAGGATCTATATTATTATTTCAGTATATCAGGCAGTATTTTCTCCATTTCTTCACTTTGGAATAAAGTAAAAATAGCAGTGTATGTTACTTGCATACATATATATGAAAACATCAAACAAAGACACTTTGCATTCTGTGCTGCCATGAATCTAAAAAAAAAGTCACTTCACCCAACAACAAAAAGCAGCAACATCTGAATGTAATGTCATAGCATGAACAGCAACCTTGAAACATTACATGGTGTTTCAGGACTAATATTCTTCACTTTCTTTTTTCAAACCAATGGGAAAATACAAACAGGAACTAACTTGTCTTTAATGGAGTCTTTATGTTACATTAAAGCATACTCCTGCTCACCATACAAAATATTAAACAGAAACTTAGATGACAAGAAGGCAAGCATTAAGACTTCCTGTGCTCACATTTAGATCATGTAATGGACACATTTGCATTGTGGAAGCTATTTCTGAAAGCACAAGACTTGTTTCAGTTTCATCTGTAACACTATTTTATTAACAATATCCTGGAGCTCAGTTGTTGTAGCTTGAGGAGAACAGTAACACCTCCGACACCAGGATCTTCCTTGGACATCTTACATTCAATTATGCTTAAGGTCTGCCTTGGCTAGTATTGAGGCTTGTAAAGAACTATCTTAAGGAAAAACAACCACAAGTATGCACTGTTTCACTTAACCATATCTCGTTTTATCCAAAACAATTTGCTGCTGCAGTTACTCTACAGACCTTGGAGCCTGGAGATCAAGGTGCTGTTTCTACACATGCAGTAATCTTCCTCAAGTAACACAGGCTACATTTGGCACTCCATTTCCTACCTGAAATTTAATCTGAATATAAACCTTATACTATTTATTTTCATCTTGTGTTCTGAGTGAGGCCTTAAAACTGGGTAGAATTGGACAAGCAAGGATACCTAGGGAAAGTTAAATTATTCTGAAAGCCAGACTTTGTTTCCCAATATTGAATGTGATGTGAGAGCACTGGTTAAAATTATTTTTAATGGATTTCATATTTCCACATCAATAACCACTTATCTTCCCTCCACTTTTGTTTACACATTGCTAATAAATCTCCATTTTATCTTCAAAATACTAGACACATTAGCTTGTACCAACCTTGTTTCTGTTTGCGGAGTTCCAACACTAGGGTAAATAATGAAATCCTCCTCCCAGATAAACATGCTAATTTCATTAACATGTTAATCTAAACCCAAAACTGAATATAAATTAAAACGATGAAGTTCTCTTAATGTTATACACACTGTAAACTTTATACCTTACCTGCATGTCTGACAGCAGTGGCTGGTTAGCTCTGGATGGCTGCTTAGTCCTTGGTGCCTTCGGCGGCCTCTTAACTGGCTGGCTACTGTGTTTTGGAATAATTTTGCCAGCTGATACAACTGAGTAAAATCTTGATGATATGTTCCTTAGCTTTTTAACATGCTCTGTATTGAGTTTGTAGTTTTCCATCATCGCCACACCAAAACATTTCCAGGATGGAAAAACACCCTCCCCACTCTGACAGTAAGCATTTTTTCCCAAAGCAGATACATTTCCTTGGAGCAGCTGCCAATTCTTGACTTGCACACAGCGACTTGTCAAACAAGGGAAAGCAGTTTTCAGAGCATACAAATCCCAAGACTTTGCTCTTCTGTCAGATGGTCCATCAACTTCATTATTCAGCTTTAACAGCAGATGTCCAGTTTTATTAAAGCTTTGGCATTGGCGTATTGTTGTTAAAGCGTGGACAGATCTAGCTTGAAGATGTGGAAGTTTCAGTCTCATTGCTTCCCTCAGAACTGTATCTAAACCAAGAAACAAAATAATCCATCAATGCTTTGTAAAGAAATAATACTATTTTCCCCTTATCTAAAAGGTAACGCCCACCCCCATGCTCCTTCTGCATGTATTAATACTCATAAGCACATAAACACTGCTGGGATTAAACATTTTTTTTTTCAATGCTATGGAAATACTGTAATTAAGACTAAAACACATTACTGCTCTGTATGCTTGCAACATATGGTGAAAAAGTAGAGCTGGTTGCTATGCCAGTATGTAAGCAGGCATCTTTTCCTTCTGTTGCTCATTCTGTGTAGCAGTCTGTACTTTCAGTAACCCCACTGATGAAACTACTCATGAGCAAGCACACACCTTAAAGAGGATATCAGACTCTGTGAATCATGATTTTATACATAATAAAAACAACAATTAGATTTATTATGCAGTTGCATGGGAATGTCACCCGTGAACACACACTGATCTGCACCATCTCAATCTACTGTACCACAAACAGCCAAGCACAGATCCAGCTCCGTTCATCTCTCTCGACTACAGCGAGAGGTTACAGTTTGATCCTGCTAGTACTCACTGGTGCCACAGGGACTGCAAGGCCTGCTTGCAGCTCTACCTGTGCTGATGAAAACACGACAGAGTCCTTGTTCTGTTATTCCAGACTAAGAGGAAGCTTATTATAGTTATGCTACATTGCACGAGCTAATCAAATAAACTTCAAAAGCATTCACCTCAGTGGGTGCGTCTCACTTGCTGAAAAAATTGCAGCATCAAGTCCCTGCCCCATCTGCTTTTATTAAACAAGAACATTTCCCTTGTGACACAAAATCCATCTTTAGCGACTTATATAAGAAATTAAGTTGTACAGTTTGAAGAAAATGCCAATTTCAGAATATTTTTCAAGAACTGTGTAAAGAAGGATCTTCAATGCCACCCATACATTTACCATAATAGTTCAAATAAGCATTTTGTTTTAAGAACAAATCATTGCGTGCTGACTGCAACACACCCTCCATCATGACAAGGATACCTAGATACTAGTACAGTACACACACAACGTGAGAAAAAAACAAAACCGAACCCTACCCTGACATAATTTAATGGGAGTACACAAGTTACGGTGAAAGAGGCATCCAATTCTAAAAAAAAAAAAAAAAAAAAAAGAGGGGGGTACGGATGGACAGAAACCACCTTTAGGTTACCATAGAATAAGTAACAGCTTTTTTACCCAATTTGTGAACTGATTATTCACATACTTATTAGAATAAAGTAATAATGATTTTCACTTTAAACTTGTCCTATATTGAAAAAGGGACCCAGAAGACTCTGTCCCGGAGAAAGCACTCTGTTCTTCCTACAGGCCTGTTACCTCTGGATAACCAGGAGAGATGAAAAACTCAGCAACTACAACCCAGGTTGGTGGAGTGCCAGGAGAAGGGGAGATGTCTCAGGGGTAACTTGTGGAGACTCACAAATACCAGGTGAGCCCATCCTTTCCTAGCCAACAACACCTTGGGTTGAATCACAGTGATGATCCTAGGGGTGATTTTTCAACCGCACAGGCTTATGGTGAGTTACAGGGAAGCATTGATCATATGGACTAAATTCCATCGGGAAGCCTGAATGTAGCAGCTGAGGCACCTAGCCGGGAAGCACAGGCTAGAGCAATCCAAGAGATATGCGGGATAAAGTGCTACCAGAGCAAGACAGCTGTCTCCAAGCGGCAGGAGCAAACCCGCACTTCATCTTCCAACGTCTCTCTTACACATAACACACTTTATTCACGCCTGTTGCCTTGCCAGCCGGGAGCCCGCGAGAGGTATGAAGAA